TTTTTATCCAATTACACAAAACCACCCAAACCCATGGAGAAGGAGGAGAAGGAGGAGAAGGAAGAGGAGAAGGAGGAGGAGGAGGAGGAGGAGAAGGAGAAGAAGAAGGAGAAGAAGGAGAAGAAGGAGAAGAAGGAGAAGAAGGAGAAGAAGGAGAAGAAGGAGAAGAAGGAGAAGAAGGAGAAGAAGGAGAAGAAGGAGAAGGAGGAGGAGGAGGAGGAGGAGGAGAAGAAGGAGAAGAAGGAGAAGGAGGAGGAGAAGGAGGAGAAGGAGAAGAAGGAGAAGAAGGAGAAGAAGGAGAAGAAGGAGAAGAAGAAGGAGGAGGAGAAGGAGAAGGAGGAGAAGGAGAAGGAGGAGAAGGAGGAGAAGGAGAAGAAGGAGAAGAAGGAGAAGGAGAAGGAGGAGGAGAAGAAGGAGAAAAAGGAGAAAAAGGAGAAGAAGGAGGAGAAGGAGAAGGAAGAGAAGAAGAAGGTGAAGAAGAAGGAGAAGAAGGTGAAGAAGAAGGTGAATAAGAAGGACCAGCCTCTGCCCTAACACCTCCACCCTGCCCCATATATTTCCATATTCTAAAACCCCAAACTCTGAGTTTCCCACCCTTCTATCCAAACTCCACACCCACAATCCCAGCTCCATTATTCCATTCTGGAAGCTTCTCCTCAGCCTCAAATGCAGAAATTCAGACCTGCTCAAGCCTGAGTGCTGTTTTAGCATTCCCTCCTCTTTACAGAGCTGTGTGCAGGGCACAGCACAGAAATCCTGGTGACAGTGACACCTCCCTGCCATTTCTCCTCCCAAAACCTCAAACCACAGCCCTGCCCTCAGCCTGCTTTGTTGTTTTGGGAGGTTTTTCTTTCCCAAACCACAGCAGCACTAATGGAACGGCTTTACTACCTGTGGAGAAGTGAATTAATAAAGGCCATGAATTATTCACCAAAATAAATTCACTTCTAACCCAAGGGCAGAGCTCTTCCCACGGGACTGGGCCTGTGAAGATGTTTATCAATAACAGGAGCAGGTTGCTCATAAAGCTGTCACAGCTTGTATTGCCTCCCTGCCCAACTTCAAACCCAGATTTTTTCAGGCCTGTTAGCATCTTCTCCCAAATATTCTCTGCAGAAAATGCGTTATCACAATTTCAGCTAAATAGGAAACAGCTAACACTGGTGGATATTCAGAATTAAATGTGTTTAAATGCTTCAGTGCTGCTGGAGGTGAGAATATTGATTTTATGGACACATGCAAGCTTTGATCAGGCAGTGTAGGGAGCTGAAATGCACAAAATTTTTTATCAGGGCAGAGAAATTGAGAGCCAGGCAGGGCTGGAAGAGAATTCCTGGATGGGAGCATCCAGCTGAGCATCCTCACATCCCTTCCAAGCTCTCACTTAAATCCTGAGCTCACTTAAATTCTGACACCTTCCCTTCTACAGCTCCTCAGGACAGAAGCTTCAAAATTAAATCTTGCTTTTAAATCCCTGATTTTTTTTTTCCTTTGTAAGGGGAAATAGAAAGATTGAGGTGATGAATGAAGGAGGATTAAAAGAGACACCACAAGATCGTGTCCATCTGAGAGCACACAAATCACTGGGCAGCCCCATTCACACACCTGAGCTCAAAGCAGCACAAACCCAAAGTGACATCTCTGAAAGTTCAATATTGAATTTCACAACAATCTCTGCAGTGCAAAAATCAAAAATCCATTTATATTGGTGGGAGCAAATGAACCACACACTGCTACAAAATCAGGGAGCCAAATTCAGCCTCGGCCTGAGGAGTCTCTGCAGATAAAAATCTGATTTTAAAGGTGACTGAAAAAGCAAAAGTTCTTTTTTGTGTTGGTGTTTTTTACACCTGATATTTTATACCTGTTTATGATTTTTATATCATTGCCTTTAGTATCTATGTCCTTCTTATCCTCTTTTATTTCTTTTATTCACTCTTCCTGTTTGAGATTAAAAGTAAACCAGAAGCTGGATTTAAATCCTATCAGGAGATTCTGTGTTAACTCACTCAGTAACAGCAACTCATTTATTGTGATTATTCTTGCAAATATAATGAAATAATAATAATTAAACTGAGTAATTTATAGAGCANTGAATTTTTGTGGGAGTGATTTTCCTGGGCTCTTGTATAAACAGGAACTGGCCAACAAACACAATATAAACATCAAGATACTCAAGATGTCCAAATATCACCAAAGTTTCAGGGAAAAAATTTTCCTTCTGTTCTGATTTCCAAGTGCCAGGAAAAGCTGAAGGAGGAACAAGCTACACCCAGCACACAAAGTGAGAGGGGGAAATTCTCTGCAGGCTCTGTTCAATCCCCCAGCAGCACAGATCATTTCCAACCTCCAGAGATCCTTTAAAGGCTTTTCTCCACCCAGGCACATATCAGCTGCTGAAGTGGGTACTCACTTGTTGCTGTGCTGCCCTGTTCTGTGCAGAAATGCATTGAGAGTTGCTCTGAGATCTTCACTGATTTTCTCCTGCAAAGGTGAAAGCCAAAGGAGCATCAGCTGCTGGGGACTGCAGGCAGCTCAGAGCGTTAATCAGCATTAAGGACTAAGGGAATTCTGTTATTTGGCCATTTGTTTATTTGTATTCCTTTATTTAAGGAGGAGAAGGAGAAGGAGAAGGAGGAGGAGAAGGAAAAGGAAAAGGAAAAGGAAAAGGAAAAGGAAAAGGAAAAGGAAAAGGAAAAGGAAAAGGAAAAGGAAAAGGAAAAGGAAAAGGAGAAGGAGAAGGAGAAGGAGAAGGAAAAGGAGAAGGAAAAGGAGAAGGAAAAGGAGAAGAAGGAGCAGGAGCAGAGCAGGAGCAGAGCAGGAGAAGAACAGGAGAAGGAGAAGAAGCAAGACCAGAACAGGAGAAGGAGCAAAGCAGGAGCAGGAGAAGGAGCAGAGCAGAAGAACAAGCAGGAACAGGAGAAGGAGCAGAAGAAGCAGAAGAAGCAGAGCAGGAGAAGGAACAGGAGAAGGAGCAGAGGAGCATAAGGAGAAGAACGGGAGAAGGAGCAGAACAGGAGAAGAAGGAGCAGGAGAAGAGCAGGAGAAGAACAGGAGCAGGAGAAGGAGCAGAGGAGAAGAACAAGCAGGAAAAGGAGAAGGAGCAGGAGAAGCAGAGCAGGAACAGGAGAAGGAGCAGAAGGAGCAGAAGAAGCAGAAGAAGTAGAAGAAGCAGAAGAAGCAGAAGAAGCAGAGCAGGAGAAGGAGAAGGAACAGGAGAAGGAGCAGGAGAAGGAGCAGGAGAAGGAGCAGGAGAAGGGAGCAGAGGAGCATAAGGAGAAGAACAGGAGAAGGAGCAGAACAGGAGAAGAAGGAGCAGGAGCAGAGCAGGAGAAGAACACAAGCAGGAGAAGGAGCAGAGCAGGAGCAGGAGCAGAACAGGAGAAGGAGCAGAAGCAGAGCAGGAGCAGAACAGGAGCAGGAGNAGAAGGAGAAGGAGAAGGAGAAGGAGAAGGAGAAGGAGAAGGAGAAGGAGAAGGAGAAGGAGAAGGAACAGGAGAAGGAACAGGAGAAGGAACAGGAGAAGGAAAAGGAGAAGGAAAAGGAGAAGGAGAAGGAGCAGAACCAGAGCAGGAGAAGGAGCAGAGGAGCATAAGGAGAAGAACAGGAGAAGGAGCAGAACAGGAGAAGAAGGAGCAGGAGCAGAACAAGAGAAGGAGCAGAAGGAGCAGAGCAGGAGCAGAACAGGAGAAGGAGCAAAGCAGGAGAAGGAGAAGGAGCAGAGCAGAAGAACAAGCAGGAACAGGAGAAGGAGCAGGAGAAGGAACAGGAGAAGGAGCAGGAGAAGAAGGGAGCAGAGGAGCATAAGGAGAAGAATGGGAGAAGGAGCAGAACAGGAGAAGAAGGAGCAGAAGAGCAGGAGAAGAACAGGAGCAGGAGAAGGAGCAGAAGGAGCAGAGCAGGAGAAGGAGCAGAGCAGAAGAACAAGCAGGAAAAGGAGAAGAAGCAGAAGAAGCAGAAGGAGCAGAAGAAGCAGAGCAGGAGCAGAAGGAACAGGAGAAGGAGTAGAAGGAGCAGAAGAAGCAGAGCAGGAGAAGGAGCAGAAGAAGGAACAGGAGAAGGGAGCAGAGGAGCATAAGGAGAAGAACGGGAGAAGGAGCAGAAGGAGCAGAAGAAGCAGAAGAAGCAGAGCAGGAGAAGGAGCAGAAGAAGCAGAGCAGGAGCAGGAAAAGGAACAGGAGAAGGAGCAGGAGAAGGGAGCAGAGGAGCATAAGGAGAAGAACAGGAGAAGGAGCAGAACAGGAGAAGAAGGAGCAGGAGCAAAGCAGGAGCAGGAGAAGGAGCAGGAGAAGAAGCAGAAGGAGCAGAGCAGGAACAGGAGAAGGAGCAGAAGAAGCAGAGCAGGAGCAGAGCAGAAGCAGAGCAGGAGCAGAAGGAGCAGAGCAGACACACAGCCAGCACTTACCGTGGCCCTTTTCCTCAGGAATGCATCGGCCTCGTCCACGAAGAGCAGGAGGCTGCAGGGGGAAGCAGCACAGTGAGGGCACAGCCTGGGCAGCCTCTGCTGCTTTTGGCCAGGGCTGTGATTCCATGG